ATCCCTTGGCATCAACAAGCCTCTACTAACCAACCGCTCATTCAAGAGTGATACCAACCCAACATGAAACACACACTACTCGTGATGCCCAAAACTATAGGCAACAACCCGTTACAAGAAAAGAATCATACATGGCACACTACAGAAATAGTCCCTAAGAGGAAAACAAACACTACACTATAAGGTCAATCACATAAACTGTAGCAGACGACGACTACAAAACAATGGTCTCTCATTAGTATCTAATTGGACCTTCAAGTCACACCTACAACTAACATATTCCACCAAACAAAAGAGTATACTACTCTTACACCCCCAACACTATCATTACCCAGCTAATCGGTATAATTATTATCCAACATAATGGAATGTCCACAACGATTTCATCTGAGTTGTGTGCTCGTAGCTCGCTCAGTGTGGTAGCTCTCTAGTGCCACCTGCACACACTCACACACACCCGCCCACAAGGCCACAAAACAAATAAATCAAATAGAACAGGCCACCAATCCCAAGAGGTCACTCCTCATCCTGGCTCAACACAATCTGTGACCAATACTCTATGATCACCAAACAACATCACACTTAGTTTCTGCCTTCGTCACTGAAAATCATAACAAAAGGTGCAACCTACTCATCCCGTCACCAACTCAAGATCAACCTCAACTTTTATTCCCAAACAGTAATCTAAGGGATAACTCTTAACCTTAACATCAGTGAACTTCTAAATAAAAATCCAAATACAAACCTTACTCAGCCCATACAGCACTAGAACCTCACAAGTCATACACTACATGCCACCTCACGTCGATTGACATCTAATCAACTTTACTTACACAAAATGATTTCATGACTCACACACCATACCCTACTAATCCATCACCCCAAAAGTCCACTCACCACACCGAGGAAACACAACATAAATTCTCAATCGTGCAAGAAAATAAGGACTTCTGTCCCAGATAACACCTAAGATCAAACCTCTTCACTATTGCCAGTCTCTAGAAAAAAAAAAAAAAAAAAAAAAAAAAAAAAAAAAAAAAAAAAAAACTCCTAGTGGAACAACGCATTCAGATCAAACCAGACCTAGAAGATTGTGCTATTCACATCACCCTTGCTCACAATATTGATACCTACCCCGTTCATAGGTGATAAGTCATAGAATTAATACAACACAGAAGTGCGCATGCTTAACGATTCCATGTTGAACCCATAACACTTACTCATGGATCATTTAAGTCAATACTACACACATATAACATACAAACATGTAATCATGTAAACAAATAAGCAAGTAAGCAGGTAAGCATGCTTTTCAAAACTGTATACATGTAAGCAACTAAGCAAGTAAGTGTACTTCTCAAAACAATAAACACTTTAACTACCCGTCGTCCTTAGGTTTTCGAACCATCGCTCTTATACCATTTGAAACGACCCTAAATTGATACCATTTTTTTTAAAAAAAAATTTGGCATGACCTCCCCTAAAAAGGGAACTACAACCACCTGCTCAAAAAAAAAAAAAAAAAAAAAAAAAGACGCAATGGCCCTTCCTGGCATTTCAAAACACCTCCAACCTGTCCCAACACATAATACAATTAATATACTCCAACATCCCATCCATCCGTTCATTATACCTCAACATGACTCATTTCATGGTGGAACATCTACATACTGTTTAATCCAAATTATCATAATTACAGCCCCAAAATATAGTTACAATAACAAGAGTTCACAAATCTCTATACCAAATATAACAAACTAAGATTTTACAAAAATATGGGACTTAATACAAAAATAGCAAAAAGAAGTCTTCTAATCCAAATTAGGCCTGTGGTGGAAAGTCATCCGCCACTTCTTTCCCGTTTCCTGAAAAAAAATTATTAAATAATAGGGTGAGCATAAAGCTCAGTAGGTAGCTCTTAAGACACGCTTCTTGTGTCCCCGTGAATCCAAACATAGAATAGAGCAATGAGAATGGGGATCAGGCCATGTAGGGAAGCCACAATATAATAATCAATCTCCACATAAGTAACATAATGCAATGGAAATGCAATGCATGCTGATGTCGCTTCCCGTTTTCAAAATCAAAACCATCACTTGTAAACTGTTAATATAACCCGCCCTTTGGTGACCCCGCAGCGACACGAGAGAAGGATTGGCTAGTGTCCCTGACCCTTGGTACCCCCGCGGTGTCATTATGGGGTCGAGCTAGCTCAACCACGCTAAGGCAATCTCCCTAGTTCCCTTTAAGCTATATTAACCTTCCAGCCCTTTGGTACCCCCGCGGCGACCGGGTTTTCACAAAATCGATTCATTAAAATACCTTCCCAAAATTCTCTTTTTCTTTTCAAAATGATTTCTTCCCTTTCATGCCCAATGCCAGTGCATGAATGCATCAATGCTATGTCCATGCTCATAATCCCACGACTAGTTCAAATTTAACTAACAAGGCATGGTTCACAAAAATTCCCAAAAGATTTACCACATAACAGCATATAACAAGATTCTAGCATTTTTGGCATAAGAAAATCAACACATAAACATGCTCTTTACATAAAGCATTTAATCCACATAGTTCCATGGTTATCATATAAGCATGCTTTTCATACAACATATTTAACACACATTCTCACATGTTCATATATCTCAATCAAGTCAATTTAATTAAGCATTCTCAGACACAAATCAAATAGATCAACTCACTAAAGCATAAGATTTCATTGATTAAGGGCCCCTACCTCAATTTGTGTAAAACCCTCAAAATGGGTCTCCAATTTCGAAAGCCAAGGGGATACTCAAAGTTGAAATTGTTGGTATGAACGCGTAGAGCTCGCCGTGCTCTCCGTTTTGCCTCAAACAACACTCCAATCCACCAAGTATTGAGTGAGATACCCTCATTCAAAGATTGAAAGAGAAAAGAAAAAAAAAACGAACAACAAGAGAGTGAGAGAGATTCAGCGGGGAGAGAGAATGAGGGTTGGAAATGTGGTCTCTAGACCACTCTTGATATAGTGGTGGGTCCCACCACTTTTAAATTTCTTTTCCCTTTTCATTTTCTTCCATTTTACACCTCACACATATAAATGCACCACATACAAATACCACTTAATCCACATAAATTAAAATGCACAAAGTGTAATGGACCCAACTAAAAACTCGTACACAAAACGTGAAAAGACCAAAATACCCTTGCATCAACGAATTACCGGAAAAATGAAAAATGTAGAAAATTGGAAACGTCACATTCTCCTCGAGCTTGGTCTGATCACTTTGGCACTGCTATGCTCAAGTTTGGTTTCCATCAAAGTGTAGCTGATCATACCTTGTTTTTACGTCATTCAGGCGGTAAGATAGTTGCTCTTATTGTGTATGTCGATGATATTATTCTTACCGGCGATGATACTACCGGAATTAATGAGGTTAAGAGCTATCTTGGCCGTCAATTTGAGATTAAGGATCTTAGTCCCCTACGATACTTCTTGGGCATTGAGGTGGCTCGCTCCAAGATTGGCATTTTTATCTCTCAACGTAAGTATGTTCTTGACTTGCTTTCTGCTTCTGGTCAGCTTGACATTCGTCCTGCTGATACTTCGATTGAGCAGAATCATCGGTTGGCTGATTCTGAGGGGGAGTTGTTGTCAAATATTGGTCAGTATCAACGACTTGTGGGGAAGCTCATCTATTTATCCATGACTTGACCTGACATTGCTTATGCCGTGAGTGTCGTGAGTCAATTCATGCACTCTCCTCGTGCCCCACACCTTCATGTAGCTATTCGGATTCTTCGTTACTTAAAAGGGTGTCCAGGCCATGGTATTTTGTTTGCTAATCATAGTCATTTACGTGTTAAGGCTTGGACAGATGCTGATTATGCAGGATCAATTTCAGATAGGAGGTCTACTTCAGGTTATTGTACCACTATTGGTGGTAACTTGGTTACTTGGCGCAGTAAGAAGTAGGATGTTGTCTTTCGATCTATGCAGAGGCAGAGTATAGGGCTGTGGCTCTTGGGGTAGGTGAGTTGCTTTGGCTGAAAACCTTGATGACAGACTTGTGCCTTCCAGTGTTGCTTCCATTCTCACTCTACTGCGACAACAAGTCTGCCATTAGCATAGCAGCAAATCCCGTTTAGCATGACAGGACTAAGCATATAGAGGTGGACCGTCACTTTATTCGAGAGAAGATCATCTCTGGTTAAATTTGCACTCCATTTATCACAAGCTCTCAGCAGCTTGCAGACATTCTTACAAAGGGCGTCAGCAAGATTGTGTTTGAGAATGCATTGTCCAAGTTGAGCGTTTCAGATATCCACGCACCAACTTGAGGGGGAGAGTTAGCATTTATGATACCACGATTTATGGTATAATTTACCATAATAGTCGAGATATGATAGGCCCAAATCATGGGATGTGATTTACCATATTATCTGTGAGATATGATAGCCACTAATCATGTATTTGACTTTATTTACGCATATGTCTAGGCATAGAATATGCAATGATTTGATTTTGTTTCCTTTCTTGTAATATGAGCATGTGCTCATTTTATCTATAAATACTAGAGCTGTGAATGGGTAATTCATCTCATTCAAGCCTTTACGCAATTCTCTCTTTTCTCTTCTTTTATATTTCTACTATAAGTAATACCAGAATCTTAAAGGACTAGAAGAATTCTTGCATTTGATATTAAGATTACATTACATGAAAAGAAATTTCTTGCTTTTATTTAATACAGTAATCGACAATCTAATTTAATATCCGTATATTTACATTTTATTTGTTTTCTGTAAATAAAAACATTATAGATGAAACAATTGTGCAAGAGCAAATGGGAAATCCCCAAGAAGAAAGGAAGGAGAGCAACCACCTCAACACAAGAAAGGCAAGAGGCTACAACTGATAAAACAGTACCAGACAACCAAATCAAAAAAGGAACCAAGCCAACTGAAAAATCCATTACTCTTTGATATAGTATATAGGCATCTGATAATGCCTAAAACAGTTATGTCACGAGTATAAGAAGGAAATGAAAAGAAATGATAAACAATACTGATGAGCATTTGAACAAATGTCCACCCTCAGATACATCAATTACAGAAAACACTTCAATGGCATTTAGGAGCGGCGCCAAAGTTGAGCCCTCTGCCGGAGAAATAGTCACATTGGATGAACCATTGACTGGCACAGAAAACAGCGATACCACATGGAATTGATTATACGACAAACTGTTAATATTGGGGATATCTGTAACAGCCATTTTGCTGTTGTCTATGTAGATTTCAACGCTGCTAGTTTGATTTTGTGCCAACCGAGAAATTGGGTCCATGAAATAGAGCACAAAGTAGGCTTGTACTGCTGTTCTAGGGGAAAAATCGATGGATAAATATATAGAGTCTGTTAGATTTTGTGATTGGATAGCATATCCCATTACTGGCCATGGTGGTCTGTTTTCTCCCAACAAGTAATAATGAGATATGTAGTTGGCATGGATGTTGACATAATTTGACATTTCTTTGGATTTCCAAATCCGGTTGTAGCATTCTGCACTGGAATCTATACTTTGCCTGTAAATTCCATACCCGTACATCCCAGCAGTTAGTTACCATTAGCATGGGGTTCCCAGTAGGATTGTGTAATTTGGAAATGCACTTAAAACAATGACACAGGAAAAAAGTAGTAGTTTGTTGTTTTGAATTTGGTACAAAAATGAGCTCTCTGGTAATGTATAAATATATTTACCTTCAGTGTTTTTTTGGGTGTGAGGTAAATACTCTTTCGCACACACAGGAATGCTGCCTCACCTCTCCTTTGAGGAAGGGGAGGTTATACTAGCTAGGCTAATGGCCCAATGGTTACCTTTAAGTTTATCAGGGCTGCAAATTAAATGTATATCACAGAGAAGAGAATTAGAAGTCAAATTTACTTACTCAACACTTGTATCTGCGCCGTAGTTGATCCTGCTATGAAGGTACAAAGCTGTGGTGTTGTCCATCCATTCATAAGCATCAATAATGTAATAAGCTTCAAGAGATGTAATGATGGGAACATCACTGTCCATAGTACGAATCAAGCACACCCTAACTCGCGACTTCTTTGTTACGTAGAGCAGTTCATAGTAGATCATCTCTTCGCTCATGGAAGTCGTTACATTTGCCCATAAGTTCCCATCTATCTCTAAATAAAAGCTTGGTGGATTTGAGAGGCCATCGTAATTGCCATAGTAAAAACCAGCTCGAAAAAGGTACCTGGCATCTGCGTCATAGATGGGTAATGTATAGCAGTTCTTGCAGCCTTTGGGGAAGAAGCGTAGGGTATTCATCTGAAATTGAGTGTGGCTGGTGGAGAGGAATTTGTTGTCTCCAGTTTTAATGAACTTTTCATCGGTTTGCCACAGTACGTAGCTTTTATCGGTGTCAGGGGTTTCACTGTATGCTCCACAGTCTATGCACAAGTCCTGGAACCTACCTGTGATCATATACTATATAGATTATTATGTTTTATATAGAGATGATTTGATAAACATGATTGAGCCAACTACTGATTGAGCCTTACCATATGAAGAAGCCTTTGGTGCAGAAAGCACCAGCAAGAGCACCACCATTGTTTTCCATTGATCCATGGAGAGAGAGAAAGAGAGGACTCATACGTTGGAGTTTTGGAAATTGTTCAAACATAAGTGGGCAATTGGCAAAGGACATAAAAAAAGAAGTAAAGTGTGATGGACCAATTACGCCGTTTATGTGGTAGCCATAGATATATATACAGTTCACATCAATGTCACCATAGGCTTTTGATACTACATATTGAAGTTGGCACATGTGATATTACATTTGATTTATTATGTTGGCCGGCCTTTGGATGTGAAGTTAATTCCTATGTATTTGGATATTACATCACATTTGCCAGCAACGGTGACTGTAACACATAACATTTGGTATTTGCCATAAAGAACACTCCAATAGGATTTCTTTTGTTTATTCTTGTGTCTCCAATACCTACTTGGTGTAAAGTGGCCAATTGGAAGCACATTTGGCATATTCTCTTCCAAAAATAGTCCAAGTATATTGACAAAGTGGGTTATACTTGTATATATCTCATAAAAACAACAGTTTTTGGGAGCTTAAACCTCATACATATCACTCATGGACCTGGAGACACATACTGAAGCTCTGGGTTACAATTCAGTCTCTCATCAGATACATAGTTGGAGATGGCAGAAACGCCAATCTCTGGCTTGACAAACGAAGCCTTAATCAACAGACTTGGGTGTAGAAATCCTACTGATTCAAGGATAGACAAACTTGCCACAATTAGCTCAATTAATATTCAAAATAGGCAATGGAACATTCCTCACTTCTAATCTGAAATTATTCTTGATATTTCTAACCCGTCCTCTCTCCCTCTCCTCACTCAAAATCTGGACAAAAGTTTTTGGATCCCTTCATCTCCATCCTCATTTTCCTTCTCTCACACAATGAGAATTTTGTGTGGCCTAGTCTGGTTCAAGGGGAACATAATTTTGTGTTATGGATGGGCCAGATGGCCCTCAAGATCAAATTCTCAACTCTTGACTGGCCTTCCACTTTCTTCACTTCCCCACAACCCTAATTTCCTTCCACTGTGATTCCTCTAGCAACCCTAAATTCCTACCCTTTGAGCTCCTCTTTGCCATCACAGTGTATTATATTTGGCAGGAGAGGAATTTCAGAGAATTTTGAAGTAACAATCATGACAGTAACTTCAAGTATCTAATCTGCACATATCTGACATTGCATATAAATTTTTAAATACTTTAAGCATGTAATAACTTGCCAAAATGCTTTAAATTAACTTTGTAAGTATTTGTAGTCCCTTAAAGGACTAATGTAATCTCCAATAATGCCTAAAACATTTATTATGTCACAAGAATAATAAGCACATGAAGAGAAATGATAAACAGTACTGATGAGAAGTTGAACAAATGTCCACCCTCAGACACATCAATTGCAGAAAACACTTCCATGGCATTTAGGAGTGGGGCCAAAGTCGAGCCTTCTGCCGGAGAAATAGTCACATTGGCCGAACCATTGACTGGCAAAGAAAACAGCGTCACAGCATGGAATCGGTCATACAAATAACCATCAATATTAGGGATATCGGTAACAGCCATTTTGTTGTCTTCTATGTATATCTCAACACTGCTAGTTTGATTTTGCTCGAACCGAGAAACAGGGTCCATAAAATAGAGAATAAAGTAGGCTTGTACTGCTGTTCGAGGGGAAAAATCAATGGACAAATATATAGAGTCTGTGAGATTTCGTGCTTGGATGGCATATCCCATTACCATCCATGGTGGCCTATTTTCTCCAAACATATAATCATAATCTATGAACTCGACATGAATGTTGAGATAATTGGATATTTCTTTAGATTTCCAAATCCTGTTGTAGTGTTGTGCATGCAAATTCATACCTCGCCTGTAAATTTCATGCCCATACACCTAGTAGTTAATTACTAAAATTAGGGGTATGCTTGATTTATAAAATTGTAAAAAAATTTGTTTGGTAGACAGTTTCTGAAACTTGGTTAGTTAAAAAAAAAAGGTCCGGTTTCTAATTAAGATTTTGAACTAAGCAGACAGTAGATCTCTATTAATGTACTTGAATTTTATCAAAGGCTGCAAGATAAATGTATATATTGGAGGAGATGATTGGAAGTCGAATTTACTTACTCAACACTTGTACTTGCACCGTAGTTGATCCTGTTATGAACGTACAAAGCTGTGGTATTGTCCATCCATTTATAAGTATCATAAATGTAATGAGCTTCGAGAGAAGAAATGAAGGGAACATCACTGTCCATGGTACGAATCAAGCACATGCTAGTCCGCGACTTCTTTGTTATGTAAAACAGTTCATAGTAGATCATCTCTTCGCTCATGGAAGTCGTTACATTTGCCCATATGTTTCCATCAATCTCTAGACGAAAGCTAGGTGGCTTCGAGAGGCCATCGTAGTTTCCATAGTAAAAGCCAGCTCGAAACAGGAACTTCCTGTATGCCTCTTGAAGGGGTAAACTATAACAGTTCTTGTGGCCTTCGAGGAAGTAGCATAGGGTATTCATCTGAAACAGAGTGTTGGTGGTAGGGAGAGCTTTGTTCTCTCCAGTTTTTATGAATGGTTCGTCAGTTTGCCACAGTTTGTGGCTATTATGGGTTGGAGCAGTTCGAATTAATGCTCCACAGTCTGTGGACAAGTCGTAGAAGCCATAACCTGTGGTCATAATGTCATATATATATATATATATATATATATATATATATAGATGATTATGTAAGTGAGTTGTTTTGGTAATATGATAATAGCATTCGTAAGCTCACATGACAATTGACATGAACATTACTAATTGAGCCTTACTTTCATATGAAGAAGCCCTTAGTGCAGGAAACATCAGCAGAAGCGCCACCCTTGTTCTACATCGTTCCATGGAGAAGAGACTACTATGCTGGAGTTCGGGTCTGAATGTAAAAATTTTTATTAATAGAATTTTTCCTCCTAACCATGTTAAATATTTTTTAGCATGTTTAAGTCTGTTTATTAAATAGATTCTACAAAATCATAAAAACATAGTTGGGGTTCTTGTGGTTGATGCACCTAATTGCAATCGATACTGCTGGAATGATATGGTTGTCTATGTCCATGGATTGAGAATATTGATTTCGTTCTCTCTCTCTTAAATAGTGTTTTTTTTTTTCTCTATAAAAGGGAGATTAACCCAAAGTGATAATTTGGTGGTGGTCTGTAATGTTTGTGTCTTATATATGTATGTGGTGCATTTTGTTTATATGTGGAGTATTTTGAAACAAAAAGAAAAGGGAAAAGAAAAGAAAATCGGCGGGACCCACCACCCACTCAAATATATGGTTTAGAGACTTTTTTTTTTTTTTTTTATACTCGTTCTCTCTCCCCGCTGAATCCTCTCTCTCGGCCAGTGCTCTATCTCTCTGCCTTTTTTTTTCTTTTTCCTTTGCAACTTGAATCTTTGATTAATTCATCATCTCTTGGTAGATTTGGGTGCCGTTTGAGGTAAAACGAAGCTTGTGTCGAGCTCTACGCATCCATACCAACAATTCCAGATTTGGTGCACCCTTTGAACTTCGAAATTTAGGACCCATTTTCTAGGGTTTTGGTGCAATCTTGAGGTAGGGGCCCTTAATTCATGAAATCTTGTACCTTAATGAGTTAATTGCCTCTAATTGTTGTTTAATTTGATTAGTTGTTTAAAATCTAGAGAATTGTTGATATGTATGCATATATGTTAGTTGTGTGACTATATTTGTTGATTGTTCTATGTGAAGCATGTTTAGGACTTGATTATATATGTTCATTGTGCTAGAACTTGTTATGTATAAGCATGTTATGACTTTCTTGATTATTCTTGCGAATTATGCCATGTTGCTTAAATTGGATAAAGTATGGAATGATGAACTTGTGTATGTCATTGAGGTATTCATGCATTAACATTGGGCAGGAAAAGGGAAAGAATTGATTTACTTCAAAAAGGGGAAATTTCGGGAAAGTGTTATTGATGAAATGATTTTATGCAAAACCCGGTCGCTGCGGGGTTACCAACGGGCTGGAGGTTAATATAGCCTAGAGGGGACTAGGGAGTCGCCCTAGTGTGGTGAGCTAGCTGGGCCCCATAATGACGCCACGGGGTTACCAAGGGTCAGGGACACTAGCCAATCCTCCTCTCGTGTCGCGGCGGGGTTACCAAAGGGCAGGCTGTATTAACATTTGAAAGTGATGGTTTTGAGAATGAAAATGGGGAGTGTCATTGACATGCATTGCATTTCATTGCATTGCATTGCATTGTTTATAATTGGAATTGAATTGTATGTTGCATTTGATCCCCTACATTGTATGATCCCTATCTCCCATTGGCCTATGCTTTGCTTGAATTCACAAGGACACAAGATTTGTGTCTTAAGTGTCTCTGCTGAGCTATATGCTCACCCCTATATCTATATATTTTTTTTTTCAGGTCTTGGAAAAGAACCGGTGGACGACAATCCACCCCAACTTTGAAAGTTGCTAGAGGAGCATTTTCCTTGTTATTTTGTAATAGACTACTCCTTTGTTCATCCCTCATTTTTTGTAAAATTCCAAAGGTGTAATGATGTAAATTTCTTTTGAAAAACCATGATCATGTAATACACTTATGATACTTGATGACATATGGGATGCGAACTTGATGATATGTAACTTGTTGATGAATGGAAGGATAATCCTAGCTTGAAGCATTGTCTAGATTAGTAGGTTGTATCATTATCTTTTGTTGCCGTGAATTCAGAAATTAGTTGCATGACAGGTTAAATATGCATTTAAACAGGTTGCGGTAGGTCCATTTTTAGGGGGCCCTAGTGTGGTTGAGCTAGCTGGGCCCCATAATGACGTCGCGGGGTTACCAAGGGTCAGGGACACTAGCCAATCCTCCTCTCGTGTCGCGGCGGGGTTACCAAAGGGCGGGCTGTATTAACGTTTGAAAGTGATGGTTTTGAGAATGAAAATGGGGAGTGTCATTGACATGCATTGCATTTCATTGCATTGCATTGCATTGGTTATAATTGGAATTGAATTGTATGTTGTATTTGATCCCCTACGTTGTATCATCCCTATCTCCCATTGGCCTATGCTTTGCTTGAATTCACAAGGACACAAGATTTGTGTCTTAAGTGTCACCTACTGAGCATATAGCTCACCCTATTATTTATACACTTTTTCCAGGTCTTGGAAAAGAACCGGTGGACGACAACTCACCTCAAGCTTGAGCGATACTAGAAGCTCACTTTTGTGTCTTTTGTATATCTCCCATTATTTTTGCAAAGCACTAAAAGTGTGAAGGTGTATATGTATATTTTACAAAACTTTGTCATGTAATGTAATTAAGGTATTTGATGATATTTTGGATGTGAATTTGATAACATGTAAACCTTATTGATGAATGAGGAGAGTAATACTAGTTTGAAGTATTATTGAGGTCATTTGATTGTGTATTATCATCTACTATTGCCGTGAATTCGGAATTTGAGCCATGATAAGTTTAAAAATGAATTTAAACAGGTTGCGGTAGGTCCATTTTTAGGGGAGGTTATGCCGAATTTTTTTTTAAAAAAAAATTCTTGGCATTAGTTTTGGGATCGTTACAAATTTGGTATCAGAGCCAAGGTTCGAAAACCTTTAGGACGACGGGTAGAGGCCTACCTAGAGTCGCATGGGATGTTGTTGTATTGTTTACTTGACTACTTGCTACGTGGTATCTTATTTAAATGAGCATGCTTAACTGCCTATGTGCTTACTTGTTTATGTTAAAATGTTTCTTGCATAGTCTTGCATGCTAAGTGTTGTACGGTATTAATTCTTGTTGAGTCATCCACAGTAGACCTTAGTGTCATGTTTCTGAATCGTTTTCTCGTTTTATAGCACGATGTCACGGCGTGAGGAACCTAGAGAAGTTGGCCCTAGGCCAACAAGGGGCGATGTTGGTGAGAGCTCTAGCTCCAATCCGGTGGAGCCAGTTGATGAGAACATGCTTCTTAGGGACTTGATTCCCCTAAGAGCTGTTCCCCCAAGAAGAGAGAATGTTGAAACACCTGTACCAGTAGAAGTGGGTGAAGGTTCTGTGGCACTAGAGTTGAATCGATTGTTGCAAAATGCCGTGAGAGCAACTATTGTTGCTCAGCCACAGTTGGTACCACAACCTACAGTTCGAGTTGAGGAGACTCCAGCTCAGAAGCGTCTCAAGATCATTAAGGGGTTTTCTCAGCTGATGCCGGTTATGTTTGAGGGCGGTGCGGACCCAATGGTAGCCGACAACTACATGAATCAAGTCGAAACTCAGTTGACCTCAATGGATGTGACAGAGGATCACTTGAAGATCATCCTAGCAACTTACAAGTTTGCTACGGATACCAAGGTTTGGTGGAAGTCGATCACCAACCAGTACAAGATTGAAGAGATGAGTTGGGACAGGTTCAAGGAGCTGTTTTATGAGAAGTATTTTCCGCTTTCCAAAAGATGGGAGTTACAAGACCAGTTTTATAATCTTATTCAAGGGAACATGTCAGTGGCGGAGTATGAGAACAAGTTCACCTCACTCTCCCGTTTTGCTCCAGAAGTGGTGAGAGATGAAGCTAACAAGACTCGGAAGTTTGTCTCGGGTCTTAATGATCGAATGAGGCCATTGATCACGGCACAGTTTATTAAGGTTTACTCTGAAGCAGTGGAAAGGGCTTTGATGCTGGAGGTTGACAATAGAGAGAAGGATGCAAGAAGAGAGCAATTGAAGCAAAAGAGGGGTGCAGGGCCATCCTCAGAGGGATCTTCTTGGAAAAGGAACAGGGGCAGTCCATCTCAGTTTCAGGGGCAACAGTCTACAAGATCTGCTCCTACCACTCCTATGCCAGCTGGATCTGACAGGAGTGCAGTTGTTTGTTATCAGTGTCAGCAGCCCGGACATTACAAGTCCAGTTGTCCGATGAGATCGTCTTCAGTTTCATCAGCTCCGAAGGCTTGTTATGGGTGTGGCCAGCAGGGTCACTTGATTCGTGATTGTCCGAGTCAGAGAGCAGGCACCATTAGTGGCAGAGGGTCACAGCAGAGGCCGTCACAATTGGCTACAGTTCAGTCAGGTTTCAGACCACCACCACCACAGCCTACTATGTCTTCACAGGGTTCACGATCAGTTAGGAGGGATACTCCTACTATGTCAGTGCAGCAGTCAGGTGTTCAGGTTGGCAGTCTTCAGGCACAGGTACCACAGGGACGTGCTATTGCACTGGCACAGACCGATGCATCTTCTGGACCGTCAGTTCTTCGAGGTATATTTCCAGTGTTTGGTTGTTGGGCCCGTATTTTGTTTGACTCTGGTGCATCTTATTCTTTCATTTCATCATCATTTGCACTTGCATCGGGGTTGGAAGTTAGTTTCTTGGAACGGGCGTTGAGTGTTGAAACGCCAGTTGGGGTTTCAGTGTCTTTGAGCCGAATTGTGCGGGAGTGTCCCATTGTGATAGTCGGGCGAACTTTCGTGTTTGACCTTATCCTCCTGGAGATGACTAGCTTTGATGTCATCTTCGGGATGGATTGGTTAGCTTTCTTCCATGCCACGATTGACTGTTTCAGAGGGAGAGTTATGGTTTGCACTCCCGAGGGAGACTGTTTCTTTTTCGTGGGAGATCGGAGTGATTCCCACATTTCATCGTTTTATGGAGTTTGTGGATG